TTCATCCCCNCCGCGGCTTTAGGGTGTTTTTGCTGTGTCTCGCGCTGGGCTGCATCCAAGAGCCGGCACCCCCAGGAGGAGACTGACGTGCGGACCAGTTTCGCCTCGTTTGTGAGTGGACCGGCGAGGAAGTGGTGGCCACCCTCGGGAAGTGTTCGTTGTTCGTTGCTCGTGGTAGTTGAACAGCTGGCCTTCGAGGACCAGTGTGCGAGTACTCGCTTTGTGTTGGTCTTTTCTGTGCAACCGTGTCTCGGCTTNTGCGGTGTGTCGTCTCAGGCCCGTGGTCCTCCGTGTCTCCCTTGCCTTGCTGGCTGCGTGGGGCCCTGGTTTTTGTGTGTGTAGAGGAGGCCCCCGAGTAGAGCCCCTGCCCCCGGTGGTGTTTTCTTTTTGTTCTGGTTTTGGCGGTCAAGAGGGACGAGAGCGCGTGAATAGGCAGGCCAGGCGAAGTGGCGCCTTTCGTGCGGTTCTTGCATAGATCGGTTTGCAGTCTTCTGCGCCGCTGTGTTGCCTAGCCAGGGGCTGGGAGAGTGTCCCGGTTGGCGCGAGTGAGGGAATGAGGCGCGCGCGGAGGAACAGACGGTCGTAAAGCCGCGCGCCCTTCCCTGCGCTGTGTTTCGGCCCGGTCAGGGCCCCCGGTGCTCGTCCTTTATCGGGCGAGCCGCCCACAGTGTAACACCCCATCAACAACAACAACAACAACAACAACAACAACAACAACAACAACAACAACAACAGGGAGCAGGGAGAGTGAGAGAGGGGGTGAGAGAGCCAGGAGTAGGGATAGGTGAGGGAGCGAGGAGAGCAGGGAGGCCCTGGGCAGTCGGAGGGCTGGGCGAGAGGGCAGTGCCCTGAGTGTGGTCTAGCAGGGGGAGTTGGGGATCCGGGCTGTGCGTGTTTTGTGTACTCGTGTGGTTGCCCTCTCCCCGGGAATTGGGGCCCGTCGGAGTGAGGGGATTGGGTCCTGTGCTGTCTGGCATCAGAGTAGAGAACACGTAGGTGGCTTGTGGGAGCGGAGAGGAGGTGGGAAAGCGGTGGAGGAGAGTGGTTTGGAGGTGGAGAACAGGTGTTGCTGGCTCCGGCCGGTCAGGGTCAGGAGGGGAGGGATTTCAGTGTGGTAAGCGAGAGCAGGCGGCGTCTGTGAGCCGTGCCTTCTCCGGGCTTTATAGGGGGGCGCCGTGCTGGCTTGTCATCCCCCCCGCGGCTATAGGTGTTTTTGCTGTGTCTCGCGCTGGGCTGCATCCGAGAGCCCGCAACCCCCAGGAGGAGACTGACGTGCGGACCAGTTTCGCCTCGTTTGTGAGTGGACCGGAGAGGTAGTGGTGGCCACCCTCGGGAAGTGTTCGTTGTTCGTTGCTCGTGGTAGTTGAACAGCTGGCCTTCGAGGACCAGTGTGCGAGTACTCGCTTTGTGTTGGTCTTTTCTGTGCAACCGTGTCTCGGCTTNTGCGGTGTGTCGTCTCAGGCCCGTGGTCCTCCGTGTCTCCCTTGCCTTGCTGGCTGCGTGGGGCCCTGGTTTTTGTGTGTGTAGAGGAGGCCCCCGAGTAGAGCCCCTGCCCCCGGTGGTGTTTTCTTTTTGTTCTGGTTTTGGCGGTCAAGAGGGACGAGAGCGCGTGAATAGGCAGGCCAGGCGAAGTGGCGCCTTTCGTGCGGTTCTTGCATAGATCGGTTTGCAGTCTTCTGCGCCGCTGTGTTGCCTAGCCAGGGGCTGGGAGAGTGTCCCGGTTGGCGCGAGTGAGGGAATGAGGCGCGCGCGGAGGAACAGACGGTCGTAAAGCCGCGCGCCCTTCCCTGCGCTGTGTTTCGGCCCGGTCAGGGCCCCCGGTGCTCGTCCTTTATCGGGCGAGCCGCCCACAGTGTAACACCCCATCAACAACAACAACAACAACAACAACAACAACAACAACAACAACAACAACAACAGGGAGCAGGGAGAGTGAGAGAGGGGGTGAGAGAGCCAGGAGTAGGGATAGGTGAGGGAGCGAGGAGAGCAGGGAGGCCCTGGGCAGTCGGAGGGCTGGGCGAGAGGGCAGTGCCCTGAGTGTGGTCTAGCAGGGGGAGTTGGGGATCCGGGCTGTGCGTGTTTTGTGTACTCGTGTGGTTGCCCTCTCCCCGGGAATTGGGGCCCGTCGGAGTGAGGGGATTGGGTCCTGTGCTGTCTGGCATCAGAGTAGAGAACACGTAGGTGGCTTGTGGGAGCGGAGAGGAGGTGGGAAAGCGGTGGAGGAGAGTGGTTTGGAGGTGGAGAACAGGTGTTGCTGGCTCCGGCCGGTCAGGGTCAGGAGGGGAGGGATTTCAGTGTGGTAAGCGAGAGCAGGCGGCGTCTGTGAGCCGTGCCTTCTCCGGGCTTTATAGGGGGGCGCCGTGCTGGCTTGTCATCCCCCCCGCGGCTATAGGTGTTTTTGCTGTGTCTCGCGCTGGGCTGCATCCGAGAGCCCGCAACCCCCAGGAGGAGACTGACGTGCGGACCAGTTTCGCCTCGTTTGTGAGTGGACCGGAGAGGTAGTGGTGGCCACCCTCGGGAAGTGTTCGTTGTTCGTTGCTCGTGGTAGTTGAACAGCTGGCCTTCGAGGACCAGTGTGCGAGTACTCCCTTTGTGTTGGTCTTCTCTGTGCATCCGTATCTCGGCTTTTGTGGTGTGTCGTCTCAGGCCCGTGGTCCTCTGTGTATCTCTTGCCTTGCTGGCTGCGTGGGGCCCTGGTTTTTGTTGAGTGTGTAGTGGAGCCCCCTGAGTAGAGCCCCTGCCCCCGGTGGTGTTTTCTTTTTGCTCTTGTTTTGGCGGTCAAGAGGGACGAGAGCGCGTGAATAGGCAGGCCAGGCGAAGTGGCGCCTTTCGTGCGGTTCTTGCATAGATCGGTTTGCGCCGCTGTGTTGCCTAGCCAGGGGCTGGGAGAGTGTCCCGGTTGGCGTGAGTGAGGGATCGAGGCGCGCGCGGAGGAACAGACGGACGTAGAGCCGCGCGCCCATCCCTGCGCTGTGTTTCGGCCCGGTCAGGGCCCCCGGTGCTCGTCCTTTATCGGGCGAGCCGCCCACAGTGTAACACCCCATCAACAAGAACAGCAGGAGCACGTTATGTATCCGCCGAAGGCCGAGTGCGCCTGCTACCAACTGCTACCAACTTGGGCCGTGCGGCTATCCCTGGCCGTTAGGGTGACAGCCAGCCACCGCCAGCCACCCTGTGTGTGAGGGGAACGAAAGCGGCGAAGCGGGGAACGGGGGAACAAGTGAAATTACATAAAGAGGAGCACCGCATCCCTACGCTCATAACCTAGCAAGGCCCACAGAGATTATAGCCGCGGTTCTCGAGGCCGACAAGGCTTATATCAATAGCTATATGTAAAAGTTATATAGCTATATCAGACAGACCCGCAGGCCATGCTATACCCACAGGTGTCCCCATGCGTGTGCGCACGAGCGCACGTGTGTGTCTGTGTGTCTGTATGTATGCGTGTATATGTGTGTGTCTGTGCGTATGTGTCTGTGTGCATGTCCGCATAATATGATTGTGATAAAATAGGACGAGAAGCTTGCGGACAACTCCGTACAATGTCTAAACCTAGGGTTCTTCTTCACTTGTTGTGATTTGTGAGAGAGGGCCTTTTCCTTCTACAAGGCTCAAAACATGAAACCAGTATAATTATAATAATAATACACCCCACAAGGAAATAGCGAACAGCAAATCAAACAGCAAATCGAACTTTGCAATTAAAGACGGTGGCAGTTATACATCCCCTTCTGCAGCATGACGGACAATTAGAGGCAAACTGCACGAATTGACGTACGGGCCGTACATGGCTCTGCACTTGGCGGCAGCGGAAGAGCACCCGCCTGGGGTTCATAATTGACCTCCCTTACGAAACTGTTCCTTCGGGTCAGATCTGCCCCGGTACATATTCGCACATCCGCACGCCTTTGGGCATGTTCGTACCTATCCGTACCTATCGTACAGGGCCTCGCCTGTAGCTGCCTAGGCTGCCCAATCGCAGGGCATCAAGATATATGCGCACAAAAATGTGCGCACTGAGATATTGCACTGCGCAACATACATGCTTTGGAACATTGAGCATTAACATGAAAACGATGAAAACGTACGGGTGCATTTGTGGAAACGTTTGCGATCATCAGCGGTGTGCGCCGTACAGCGCAACACAGCTATACCTACTTCCGCACATCCCACCTCTTGCAACATCAGAAACGGAAGCTGATCGCAAAGCCCAACCACTGCTTAACCCACTTTACCATCAACCCCCCCAAAACTTAATGGAACCAGCGGCACACGATCTCACGATCTCACAGGGGAATCCGGCTAACCAGAGTACCCGGGCACCCCCTATTACGAGGTCCTGAAAAACACAGACCCCACATTGTACAATCCCCCATGCCTCCTGGCATGCACAGCGGGGCTAGCTGGATACCAAATACGCTGGGTTTTTGCAGGAGACGCTCACAGGCCTCGAGGACGCGGACTTGAGGGGTTGAGGGTCCATGCACACCAACACACTGCCCCCAACACCAAGGGGCCCCAGCACGGCTACATCTAACTACCACCTCCTTCCGCAGGCCAGGAGTTCCTCCCCTCACCCTCCTCTCCCCCTCACCTCCCGGGAGGGTGACGTCTCCAAGCCAAAACACAACAACCCCCCCTCCCGACGCGTCTTTCAAAGTCGGCTGCGGTCTGCTTTCCTACACGCACACCGATTTCCATGCACAGCACCATGGTACGCCCCCACACCCAAACGCAAGCCTTCAACAACGCACACAGCCAAAACAAACCTCCCTGGAAAACCCCAAGCCGCAGCATTCCACAAAACCGTCTCAACGGTCAACCAACCCAACTTTCAACCGTCAATCCACGGTTATGCCGGTCTGCACCGGGCACCAGGCGTGGTCCCTGACGTACGTTCCGTTGACGGTTAGCGGTTGACCCACGTTCCAGAAGGAGAAGGCGAAGTAGCCTTCCCCTTTCAAAAACACCGTTGCCGGGTCGGGTACGCCGGCGCAGGCGGCGTCTAGGTTACTTGCGGCGACTCCGAGGGCGCACGATTTGACAACCTCGATTCGGTAAAGTTTGGTTGAAGGCTGTACGATATCGTTGAGGATGACTTTCAGGCTGTACACGGAAGTTTGCGGCGTCAGGACGCCGCTGTCCTTGAGATCACGTACTGTGTTGATCCTGGTTCCATTGACGAAGACCGAGTAGTACGGCGCGGTTTCCCGGTACGGCGTCTGTACGGGACAGGACAGGACAGGTAACGACACAACAGGGCCGGGCGGGTCGAGGACATTGCTTTACTTGTTTTGCAATGCGCGTGCACCGTGGAGGAGGAAAATGGGAAGAAATGATAAAAAATTGCATCTCTACTGCATGGTAGCGACGTACGATTTACAAAGAGCGGCTGGCAAAAAGCAGCTATGTTTACAAGGGGAAATAGCTTCATGCGAATGAGGATAACGGACTGCGTTCGTCCTGTCCCTCACCTACCTTATCCAGGGCTGGTGACCAGGCCATGACACCGCTCTTGTTGAAATACGCCAGGTGCATTTGACGAATTTTGAAGACTGGCGGCTCCACCCGACCGAAGACCGGGGCCACCGGAAACACGTTCCCCGTGTCCAAGTAAAAAACTAAGGAATGGCGACCAAGTTGCTGACTGAGCGGGCGCGTCATGCTCCAAAGCCCGAATTCCTGCTGCTGCAAATTGTGTCCGCATTTTCCAAAATGCATGTAAAATTGCGGCAGCGGCAGCGGCCGTGGCGGCGGCGGAAGAAGCTGCTGCGCACTGCTGCGAGCGCCGGGCGATGAGTCGCGAGGTGACGGAGGCTGATTGGGCAGCCCTGGATGGGAAGCGGGAGAATGTGCCGGGGTGTGGAGCTGTGGGTGTGTTTTGTGGGATGAGATTCTAGGGCAGGCGGGTTACAGGTAGGGTACTTTTCAACCTCAAAAACAAACCCACCGGCGTGGATCTGCAACGACGACGAGGACAACAGGAGTAGTACTACGGCGAATAGTCTGTCCATGTTCGTAGTTGTTGGAGATGTCGGAGATGTCGACAAGCCCCAGGCAGCTGCGGAAGAAGCACGGGGACGGTCCAGAATGTTGTCAAAAGTTGAATGATGCCGCTGTGTTTAAAGTCCGCTATGTGGATATATGTAAGGGATTGACGCCGATTGTACAGGGGCGCCTCCTATGTTGTTGAGAGTTGTTGTGCCATTGCTTGCCTACCAGCACTAGCACCTTAACATGATGTACAACCATTGAAATCTTTTGGAAGATGGACGTTATCAATTGGATGTTGCATGTCAAGCTGTGCATGCCAGGCGCGCAAGCTTTTCCTGGTTGTCGCTGAAGGCATGAGTCGCGGTGAACACATCCCAGCGCCATCAGCACAGCATTTGGCTAAAACCTAGTTTCATTATGCATAAGCCTTCGCTTACGAAAAGGCAAAGCTGGCGCCTTCAGTCGGCCCGCTTGGTCTGAATTCCGCACTCGAGGGAACGGCGGTTAGCTCGAGTAATAACGGCGCACGGAGATACAGGTCATGTGCTACGTCTCTATTTAAAGAAGATAATGGACTGGAGTTACTGGAAGTAAGTTGATGTGAGTAGGCCGAATGGGCGAGCAGAGTAAGCTTGCCCGTTCCACCTTTTTAGCAGCCGAAATCTATGCACGTGTTCAAAAGGTTAAGCAAATATTACTGGATTATGAAGTCCATACTAGCCGTGTTGCAGATAGCGTAAAATGTTTAAGCGGCGACCGACCCGTACGGGCCCGGGTTCCCAACAGTTTTCGCCAACTTTCCCAAAGGGCTATGAGCTCTGCCGAGGCCAAGTCCTTATCCATGATGATTGAAATTTAAATCTGTTTTACTTTTTTATGGAAAGCCGATACGGTTACGTACTGTAGGTTTTGTGACGAAAGTGGGTTCGATTTTCATGGCGAGTGCAGGATTAGTGCAATACAGGCTTAAGATCCTTTGAACTATGTCGGGTACTTATTGTATTGTAGAAATATATAGGTATTTCTGTAATCAGGTTTTCCGGTTTTCGTTCCCCGACAGCACACCACGCCGCAAAACGAAACGCAACTGAGCTGCTGGGGCTGGCCACAGGTAAGTGCCTATCGGGCGTCTTATTTTGTGCATCTCGAAACTTCAGCTGCCATGCTAAAACATTATCTACAAAGGTTAACGTCGTGACAGTGGCTGCCTATCGTATCGACCAAAGGTGTTATGAGCATTCCGTTAATTATGGTAATGACTAACATATCCTTATTACTTTTACTTGTGACGCATAGGCGGAACAACTCCTGCCGTACTACCGTACGTCGTATCCCAACAAGGGTATATCCTTACTTTCGTTAGTTCCGTCTAGGCGGACATTTGGTTGTTAAGAACCAACTAGCCACTACACTTCGTATAACCGTTTCCGCTTATGCGTCACAAGTAATAGTAATAAGGATATGTTAGTCATTACCGTAATTAACGGAATGCTCATAACGAAAGGGCTCAGATGATATTACGAAAGAAGAGTACCGGCACTCTTGCGATGCACATAGAGTCCGGATGTCCGGAACCAGATGAAGCTTTAGAGAAAGGGCGTGTCCGGAATAGGCAGGAATCCAAATGAAACAACCTAATGCTGGCATCTACCTTCACTAAGAATTACGAAACCAATATCGAGGCTATCTTCCTGCTCTTCACTGTCCTCCGAACAGCAACATTTGTTTGATCTCGTTCCAAAATGGGGCCCAGATGTTCTCTTTCTGTTGCTTTTACCTTCTCTGCTTGGTTTAAATTTGTTTTCGTCCTTTGTATGTCTATCTGTATCTGTATATTGTTTTCCTGTTCGGTCAAGAGCGACCGTTTACCGCCGAGCCCAAGACATGTACAGGATGAGGCCCGAATGAGGCGAGAGGTCACACACACACGTACATACACGTACACACACACGTACGTACATAACGCCCCAACCGGGGTTGCTCTGTTTTGCCGTAAACCCGGGTTTGCCTCTCCTTTCCTGCACCGGCCATGCCTGGGCTGCCGCCACCTCACCTTCCTATCAACATACATACATACATCAAATCCGCCTGCCGACTCCTCGGGTGTTTGAGGAGTGTTGAAATGGGAGGTGGCCCCCCATCTTATGGACGGTGTAGGACGTGATAATACAACTTGCGAGCTGACCAGGAACTAAGTTGATGCGCCGTTGATCCGCTAGATTTGGTTGGATGCTGGTGGTGAGTTGCTGAAACCAACGAATACATTCTGAAGTTGGATGGGGTGAACGGATTAGGGTGCCCCTCTCGCAGGGGAGAGCAGGGAACTGCCTCGGGAAAGGGGGCCGCTGGTGAAGTTTAACCACCCTGTAACAACATACATACATACATTTTTTCTTTTGAGTGGGAGGAGTGGGACTTCAGAGAGCCTTTGCCTTGAGTCTTGTGGAGCTGTTCAGGCGGGACTAGAGATTTTCGATGCAGCACCTTCCCCGAACAGAGGCGCTGCTGAACGGCTGCGTCGTGTGTTAGCAGCCTGAGTCGGGGTGGGGAGCACACAAGACTAGCCGCGGCTTGTGCTGCGTGCCCCTGACCCTTCCGCTGTGTTTCGGCTTCGGCCCCGGCTTTACCAGCCCACAGTGTAACCTAATTCATACATCCATCCATCCCTACATACGTACACACACAGATACACAGCACATCCGTCGCCACCACGGGGCCTCATCTGTTCCCTGGTCCTTCATGCGCCACGCCGTCGCAGAAGACAACGCATGTCCGCCGTGTCTGCAAAAGCCCACCTTCCTGTCAGTCGGTCTGTAAGTCTGTCGTGAGAAGGTGTCTGTAGTGAGGTTCATCTGAGATACGCAGCAGATCCGGAGCTCACAAAAGTCCCGCGCGCCCACCCAGCAAAGGACAAGAACGGACCGACTAGCCAAACTTCCCTCCTATCGCCCTCTTATCCTCCTCCCCCCAACCACCACCGGAGCCCCCTTCCTCTCATCCTCCTCTTCTTCTTTTTCTCTCCTTCCGCTCTTCACTCCGCAACTGTCCTCTCCGAAAATGGCCACTGCCCCTCCTCCTGCTACGGCCTCCTGCTGTAACTCCTGCTATAACCTCCTGCTGACCACCAAACCTTCCGACGTCGCTCCCGATCCCCTGCCGTTGCGACTGCCGTTGCCGGTTGCGACGGCGAAGTCTCCAAGCCTCCCCCGAAATTCATCTTGTGCCGCTGACCACTGGTAGGCTTGCTAAGAGGAGCGCCCGGCTGGTCGAGGCGGCCGTCCCACCACGAGCCCCCCTCCAAGACGCAGCTGACTCGGAGTCCGTAGTGTTGTAGCAGCTGTCGGCAGCAAACGCAGGGTACGCTACAGCCTAGGGTTCCGTCATGTAAACGACGCCAGATGACGATGGTGGTGCCAGCCTTGCGTCGGATCCACTGCGCGACTTGGTGGGGCCGCTGGCCGTGCTTTCGGGCCTCAAGGACCCAAGTATCAATCAACCTACGTTCTGTGGAAGTACCCGGGCATGGAGAAATAAAGGAGGATGCGAGAATTGGTGAAGAATCAAGCATAGAAGAATATAAATGCGCGTGCAAACGTCGCGCGCGCAAACGTCCCGCGCGCATGGACGGGATAGATGGCAAGAGGCAAGCGGAATGCGAGCCGGACATGTAATGGGTGTCACAGCATAAAACGGAAGCACAAATGCAGCGCGCATTGAAGCATCCGTAAACACGGACGGAAAACAGGGAGGTATGAGTGAACAAGAGGAGGTGGACCGATACGAGGGCTTTGGCCACCCAGGTAAAGCCAAACTAAAGAAGCCAGCCAAGTAATGCCGCTATCGCAGTTCTAATACAGTTATAACGCAAAGATTGGGCTTTCAAGCACCAGCGCGGACGGGGTTGCCCGCCTGCTTGCGCCGACTCCATGCAACTCCGAGAAGGTTAAAGGACACACCTGCGCAGGCTCGATGATCACTTAACGACTGAAGGATGTCATAGTCGCCGTTCGTGTTTCGCCTCTTTTTTTCCTTTAACGCACTCGTTGCATGCCATGGCCACCGGCGCGCGAGACTCGGCGAGCATGTTAATGAATGACGCGTGGACGACCTTAGACTCCAGGTTGCGCCAGTACTTAGTAGCCATGCGTGAAATTCTTTCGGGTTGCGGACGACGGAAGTTGGGTTCTAGCCTCGTGAGCGAGGGGTGGATAAATAAGGAATGAAGGGTACGCAAAAAAGTGTAAAACAAAGAAGACATAAAGCATGCGTCTTTATACATTGACGGCGCGAAACAAATGCATGTCGTACTCTCGGTCGCTCATGAATCCCAGGCGCCCATTCACTTGTTCGGCGAACACTTCATGCTTCCAGCTACGCCCCAAATAATGCTTTTAAAGTAATTACAATTGCTTCTGATGGCGCTTTCTCTTCGGGGCGTGCAAATCCTTCTTCGGGAGGCTTATGGCTGTCTCCCGCACAGACAATTTGGGCGCAATGGGTCATTAGAAGTACTGAGCACCAGCGCTGGTTGGCGAACTCAGCACACAGCCGGCGACGTCGCATCGCTCTCCGGCAAAGCCCCGGAAGTCTCACAGGTGGGCTTCAGCGGCTCCAGGACTCGCCAAAATGCCATGATCGATTGCACGAATCGTCGCATGCATCCTCACTGCCCATCATGCCTTGTTTCAGTGCGCTTGCCGTGAGCTCTGGCTGCGCGCAACCCCTTCATCCAACCCATCCTAACCTGCACCGCCCCGCCGATGCCAATCAGCGCTTTCCCTCCTTTCCCCATCCCCCTGGGGCGTTCTTCTTCCCTCAGGCTACTGCCACCGCCACCGCCGCATCCACGGGCACGGGCAGTAGCGACAGCAGTAGCCTTCTCACCTCTCATCAGCTGCCAACAACCGACCCCCAGGATAATGTCCTCCGACAACGACATCACCCGCAGCAGCTTCAACAGCACCAGAACCAGCACCAGCACCAGCAGCACGACAAGCAGCTCGATCTGGATCTTGACGAGCCGCCGCTGCCCCCGCTCCGCTTCGTCAGTCGGGAACAACGTACCGCACGGCAGCTACCAGCTCGCCGCATCCCCATCTGCTTTCCCAACTTAACTCTACAGATGCTCAAGCTGCGAGACAGCCAAATGGTTCAGCTAAGGGAAACAGGATGGCTGCGGGAGGTTGCCTTTAAGACGACGGCCGACGTGACAAAGGCAGGTGGCTGATCCCCTTTCTCATTCACCACATGAGCATCGTGCGGTTATCCGGCGTGGGCGATGGAATGTGGTGGGATGCCTGGAGGGAGCTAGAGGGGTGGGGATGGGGATGGGGGGATAGGGCGAGGCTTTGAGCGGGCGTAGACAGCGGCCCCGCAGACCAGCGATGTTGGGAAGTCTGGGGTGGTTGTAGATGTAGAACAACTAGCACGGGATGGCACTTAGGCGGGTAATGTGGTAATGTGGCGGGCTATCAGGATTCCGCGGCCACCGCCTTTCGGTGCTACACGGGGATGGGGGAGAGGAGAGGGCTACTGCGCCCACGTAGGCGGCGAAGGCAAGATGTAGGGCCCACAGAGAACCGACTGGACGATCATAAAGACAAAAATACGCATTTCTACATACACACACAAACACACGCGCGCGTGGAGCCACTAAATGAAATACACATGTGTACATACATACGTACATATATACATACATGTCACGACAAGCCTTTCTCGCCGCTACAGTTGGAGATTGCGGCCTACCTGGAGTCCGTGTACGGCATGTCGGTTGAGAGGGTCCACACCGTCAACTACCTGGGCCGCGCACGCCAGGATGCGCCATTCGGCAAGAACCGGCGGCATCTGTATCGCGAAGACGACTGGAAGAAGGCGTATGTGGTGTTTCGGCCGCCGCCGGGAGCTGAGCACTTGCTAACCCAAGAGCAACAGGGAGGGGAGGAACAGCAAGAGGAGGTTGGGGTGGATGAGCGGCCGGTGATCGAGCAGATACGCGAGGCTGCGAGGGCGCCAAGACCAGCTCCCAGGCCCCTGCCCTGGGGCCGGCGGCGGCAGTGACGAGCAGGAGGTTGCGTTTCCTGAGGAAAGGAAAAAAACCGAAAATTTAGGATTGAAACATGTTTGATGAACGCGAGGTCGCGGTTCCGGAGCGGGGTGGTTCCTGTCCGGACGTGTGTATGTCGTACTTCCTGGAGACGATCACTCGTACTGCTACATGCTGACAGTGGAACTCGAGAGGTTATTGATGTTGGGGCACACTGAGGGTGGGGTGCTGCACCAGAGGGCATACCCCACTGAGGGTGGGGTGCTGCACCAGAGGGCATACCCCACTGAGGGTGGGGTGCTGCACCAGAGCATCCGGCGACTGGCAGTTGCTGCGTCCTGGAAGGAAGTGGGAGGGTGTGTGTTGTAACCCCCCCCGTGGGGGACGTCGCACAGCGGGGTGGGGTGGGGGACGCGAAAACGCACAAAGCTCCTGATATGCGTCCGCGTAGGGGTTGGGCAGGCGTCGAAATTTTAATTAGATGATTTGCAGTTTAAGGCTTTTCCGCATTTTCCCTGTCGTCCTTACCTGCACCTCTTCTGAATGCCATCAGGTAGGAATATAATTAGTTTTTTTGTGGGAAGACAAAATCCTAAGCCCTGAAGGCTCTTTATAGCTGAGTTAGCGTCCGTCAGCGCAAAGGTGGAGGAAGCCCGGGACACAAGAAGTGAAGAAGAGCGAACGCGTGTGTCGAAGAGCGAACCCTTGCGCACCGAGACCAGGCTCCCTGCCTGCATCTGAGAGCCCAGGCACTCGGGGATGATATGAAAAACACAGAACACGTCGCGCAAAATCACAGAGCTCAAAACATTTAAAGCACCTCTTGTCATTATATAGGCATATAAAGCGGCATAACACGGCTTCCGCGATGTCCCGTGAGCTCCCGCTTGGGCAGTGGTGGTGTGGTGTGTGGTGTGTAAGAAGCGCGCGGTACCGCGTGGTGCGGTGTCCACCGTCTGATTTCGGACATGAAGGAAACGCTCCGAGACCGCAACGATGATGATATGCTCGGTTCATCCATCAGAGCGGTGGTGCTGTAACACCGCTGTTAAGGATTGGATAACAACCCATCCAGTGGCCAGTGGCCTCCACATCTTCCTTCCTTCCTTCCTTCCTTGCGCGTCCTCCTCGGGTCAAGCCACCCGCCGCGTCCCCCCCCCGGGACCCCGCCATGCTCAAGGACGGGACACACGTCTCGCCCGCTTCCCCCTCCCCCTCCCTACCTCCCCCCCACTTTGCAGCTTCTCCCTGCAGAAAAAAGCCGACCTTTTATTTCAAGCCACTGCATCCTATACCTCCCCTCTCCCCCCTTTTCCCCCTCCCGTCCGGATCCGCAAAACCCTCCGACCCCAGCGCATCTTGTCCCGTCCCGTCCCGTCCCGTTAGAAATGATGAGGGGGGGAAAATGGTGACCCTCGAGGGGGGGACCCGGGGCGTGATGGGGAGAACACATTCGGATCCTCGGAATCCGCTGATCAGGATCATTTCCCCCAACCGCCTCCCTTCCCCGCGCCATTTCCCCAAGTCTTCCTCTCCTCCTCCTCCTCCCCTTCACCCACACCAGCAGCAACAGCAGCAGCAGCAGTAGCAGCAGCAGCGAAATGCCCTTCCTTCACAGAGCCTTCAGGATATTACTGGGCTTAGCCACACCGCCATCTTCGGGATTCCCCCAGACCTTCCAGTCAAAATCAATAAAGCGAGTGCCCGAATCCAGCTCGTCCAATGCCGCCTTCTGGTCGTACGACAATTTCCAGTCGTACATTCCCACGAGGTTCTCGGCCAGGCGGTCGGTGTTTGCGGTCTTGGCGACGACCGGCACCCCTCTCTGAATGTTCCACTTTATGAGCACCTGAATGGAGGTGAGGGGTGTGTGTGTGAGTGTGTGTGTGTGAGTGTGTGTGTGTGTGTGTGTGTGCGCGCGTGTGCGTGTGCGGCACACACATACACACTCTCTCACACACACACACACACGCGTTGATGTTACCCCCGCTCCTTTCCCACCCAACAAATACTTGCACACTTGCACTCGTACACACATCCGTACCTGTGCCGGTGTTTTGGCGGCCTCTTGCGCCACCCGGGCGACCACCCGGTGCGTGAGCAGCTCATTGGTTTTCACCAAACCCTACGTGCATGCATGTATGCATGTATGTAAGTATGTACATACATGATGAATCAATGGGATAGAGGTGGCGCTTGAAGGGCTTCAGGCACTTCCGTCGCAATTTCGAATAAACACATACATACATACATACATACATACATACATACATACATACATACATACATACATACATACATACATGCGCACACCCGGCCCCAGCCCCCTCCCCAACCCTTTCCCCCCCTTCCCCCGCCTGCCCACCTGTCCTCCCAGTGGTGAGTACGCCACGCACTGCACCCCGCGTCTGAAGCTCACCCCCACCAGCTTCCTCTGTGCGCACATGGGGTGCAGCTCCACCTGGTTGACTTGGGGGCGGATACGACAAACCGCTAGGAGGTCCTCCAGCTGCGCAAGGGTAGGGTAGGGCAGGGTAGGGATTCAGGTTTTTGGAATGTTTACATAAAGATCAACACTCCACAAATGCATTTTAAGGTTTCAGGCTTTTCCCAGGTTTTTGATTTGGGTTTTGAGGCAGGAAAGGTAAGGGCAGGGCAGGGCAGGGAGGGTAGAGAAGGAAAAAGAGAGAAAGGAAGGAATTGATATTGGGAGCCATATCGTCCCCAAAGATCCAAAAACTCGAATTCGAATTGAATATCACAAGCCCTAATTAGGACTCCTGGTTATGACTAAGTGGGAATGAGTACGAATAAACCCTAATCGGACAAACCATGCAGTAGCAATAAGCGTCAGCAGCAATCCGAAGCAGCAGCACAAAAGACGCGCCAGCCGAGAAGCCGTGGGATGAGTGGGTGTGTGGGTGGGGGAGAGGGTTCCAATTCAAGAGTTCAAAGGAGGGGGAGAAACCCCAACGTCCCAATGTCCCGGGCTGCTCCCGCTGCTCAGCCCAGAGCCCTCTCCCCTA